CGCAGCAGAGCCGAAGTGAACCGACCGATTTCGTGCGTCCCTCTGCGCGTGGCCGGATCGCGGCCTGCCGCGTGGAATTCTTCGCGAGCACCGCCGCCCCACGTGCTTTACGCTTCACAACGAAATCCCTCTCGAGGGAGATTGCGCGCGGTTGCGTGGCGCAACAGCTTGGGGCGAATCGACTTCTCGAAGTCTTCTTGATTCTTTTCGGTAAAGTCACGTAGAATGAGAATAAAATAATAAAATATATTTTTTCAAATTCTCATTCTACGTATATATTATTTTATCCTCATTCTACGTGACTTTACCGAAAGAACCAAGGAGATGAATCCTTGCAGTCACGAAAAGTTTTAAATCGAGACTCCTCGAAGCATCACTTTTTTTTTTTTGGCATCGGCAATTTAAAACGTCGCGAGCGAGGACCGCAAAGGGGGCCAGCAGACGGCCGCAGCGCCCACCAACGTCCCTCTCTGGAAACGGTGAAAACGATCGCCACGTTGCTACGTTTGTTCTTACGGAGAAGAAGCCGGCGCTTGAATGGGGCAATTTTCACCCGTCGGCTCACGAGGAAGGGGGCGAAATGTTCACGCGAGGCGTGGGGCGACTGACCTTTTGACAGGCATGCAAACGAGCCACAGGTCTGTGTGTGAAAGAAAAAAAACGTACGCAATGCACCGCGACAATGATCTCGCACTTAACGTGGCTGTTATGCTGGTATTGTGTCTCTGGGCCGACACTTTGGAGCCGAGGGTTGGTGGATAATACAGCTTTCTGTAACGGTTAAATCCTGTGGCAGGACACCAAGCGGATTCATGAACAAGTCCGCTTGAAGTGGGGTTTCTCCTTTATATTCCCTCTGCCTCCAAATAAAAAAATATATAATTGGTCAAATGTCCCAATGCGGGACCGTCCTTAAATTGAGCCTCGAGACTCAGCGAGGCTTTCCTGGATAAATAAAGCACCGTATTATCAATCCACCGATTAATTAAACAGTGGCCCGCGCATTACTCAACAATAAAAAACTATCCAGATACATTCCGTCTTTATAGAGAGACACTATAGGTGAGACAATATGATGTTAAATCACTTGAACTTGGTGCATGACACGTGGAAAAACAGTAACAATTCAGGTCGATTTACAAAAAAAAATTCAGGACTAAGTTGAAATATTATGCATGATTAAATATAAATTTATATCCAGCTCACATATCGGCTCAGTTATAAATACATTTCCTGATAGAGCGCCAAGCGCCAATATATATTTATTTCTAAAGAATCAAACTGTACACATCCCTGGTTTGAAGTCTCGGTGGTTTAAAAAACAAGACCCGGATGGAGTTACAATGCAGAAAAAAAATCACCCAGAATTCACCCCAGACTCTTGAGGTCTCAGAAGCTCAACAGGCTTGAGAGCCTGCCTGCTTGGACGATCACCGCACATGTAACACATGTGACACAGGCCACAGGCCACTGTGAAGCGAGGTAGTCGGCAAAGGGCACGGGCAGCAACATCGATTTGTTGTTGCGCTGCACGACACTCCACAAAGGTGCGCGCTCCTCACCTACACCGAAACCCGCAACGACCAGCGGGGTGAAGTATGGACAACCCCCCCCCACCCCCCCCCCCCCGCCATTCACGAACCGAACAGCGTGGAGTGGTCCTCATCTAGCAGTCGATCGACAAAAGGGTTGTACATGTTCGAAGTGATACCATGAAGGAAAAAGGCGAGTCCCCCTACCAATGCATCTGCTCGATGGAAAACCAGGCCAGCAGCTTCTGAGATCCAGAGTACGAGTTTGGGAATACTCAACCCTGTGACCTCACACGCGCAGTCCGTTTCATAGTCTCAGGCTGGTCATCTCTGAGTGCTTCATAGTCCCAGCCTGGTCATCTCTGTGTGTTTCATAGTCCCAGCCTGGTCATCTCCGAGTGTTTCATAGTCCCAGCCTGGTCATCTCCGAGTGTTTCATAGTCCCAGCCTGGTCATCTCCGAGTGTTTCATAGTCCCAGCCTGGTCATCTCCGAGTGTTTCATAGTCCCAGGCTGGTCATCTCTGAGTGTTTCATAGTCCCAGCCTGGTCATCTCCGAGTGTTTCATAGTCCCAGCCTGGTCATCTCTGAGTGTTTCATAGTCCCAGCCTGGTCATCTCCGAGTGTTTCATAGTCCCAGCCTGGTCATCTCCGAGTGTTTCATAGTCCCAGCCTGGTCATCTCCGAGTGTTTCATAGTCCCAGGCTGGTCATCTCTGAGTGTTTCATAGTCCCAGGCTGGTCATCTCTGAGTGTTTCATAGTCCCAGCCTGGTCATCTCTGTGTGTTTCATAGTCCCAGCCTGGTCATCTCCGAGTGTTTCATAGTCCCAGCCTGGTCATCTCCGAGTGTTTCATAGTCCCAGCCTGGTCATCTCCGAGTGTTTCATAGTCCCAGGCTGGTCATCTCTGAGTGTTTCATAGTCCCAGCCTGGTCATCTCCGAGTGTTTCATAGTCCCAGCCTGGTCATCTCTGAGTGTTTCATAGTCTCAGCCTGGTCATCTCTGAGTGTTTCATAGTCCCAGCCTGGTCATCTCCGAGTGTTTCATAGTCCCAACCTGGTCATCTCCGAGTGTTTCATAGTCCCAACCTGGTCATCTCCGAGTGTTTCATAGTCCCAGCCTGGTCATCTCCGAGTGTTTCATAGTCCCAGCCTGGTCATCTCCGAGTGTTTCATAGTCCCAGCCTGGTCATCTCTGAGTGTTTCATAGTCCCAGCCTGGTCATCTCCGAGTGTTTCATAGTCTCAGCCTGGTGATCTCTGAGTGTTTCATAGTCCCAGCCTGGTGATCTCTGAGTGTTTCATAGTCTCAGCGTCGTCATCTGTGAGTGTTTCATAGTCCCAGCCTGGTCATCTCCGAGTGTTTCATAGTCCCAGCCTGGTCATCTCCGAGTGTTTCATAGTCCCAGCCTGGTCATCTCCGAGTGTTTCATAGTCCCAGCCTGGTCATCTCTGAGTGTTTCATAGTCTCAGCCTGGTCATCTCTGAGTGTTTCATAGTCTCAGCCTGGTCATCTCTGAGTGTTTCATAGTCCCAGCGTCGTCATCTCTGAGTGTTTCATAGTCCCAGCCTGGTCATCTCCGAGTGTTTCATAGTCCCAGCCTGGTCATCTCCGAGTGTTTCATAGTCCCAGCCTGGTCATCTCTGAGTGTTTCATAGTCCCAGCCTGGTCATCTCCGAGTGTTTCATAGTCCCAGCCTGGTCATCTCCGAGTGTTTCAAAGTCTCAGCCTGGTCATCTCCGAGTGTTTCATAGTCCCAGCCTGGTCATCTCCGAGTGTTTCATAGTCCCAGCCTGGTCATCTCTGTGTTTCATAGTCCCAGCCTGGTCATCTCTGAGTGTTTCATAGTCCCAGCCTGGTCATCTCCGAGTGTTTCATAGTCCCAGCCTGGTCATCTCTGTGTGTTTCATAGTCCTAGCCTGGTCATCTCCGGTTGCATTAAGCTCTATCAGAAGAAAAATACGTTGTTCATCATTGTGTCAAATGACCACGTGAGCCAAAACAATTGGTGCGCTAAACGCATGTACACCACGTGGTGATTTCATTAGTTTGGCTGTCCGGTGGTGGTAGGTCTTACTGATGCCTAGAATTTGCCAGAGATCATTGCATGGCCTAACCGACAAAATCAATAATGAATCAGCAATAATGATTAAGTACTCGACACACATAGACCAAATAGTGCACGAAAGAATCATAGTTTTTCAATGAATGTGTTATATGCAATGGGTTTGCGTGACCCCTGCAGCCACTAGAGGCCACTATATTCACCGCAATGTTAAATAAATCGCACGACTCCAAAATTTGTGACCGTCTCAACGAGTCGCCGGGGGAAGGGGGATTCGTCGCACCCTCGTGAAGCACCCAACAGTGAATATTTAAAAAAAAAATCTTTCAATTCCACTCTCTCAGCCCGACTCTACTGATGAAGACCAAAATTGACGAAACCGGTAAAATTTGCTTGCATAAATAAATGTTTATGGAAAATATACTTCAGCTGAGAGCTTAATAATCAGATATTTACATACTCTTACGCATGGCAGAAGCAGCCTCGTGCAGTGGTTTCTGAAAATAAAACGCTGGGTAGGAGACTTAAGTGGATCCACAACACCTCTTCCGGGTTAATTCCGTCAAATGTTGCGAATTTAAACTATTCAAATATTTTGTATTTTACCAGGTAAGGACTACTGGGCTATATCGCTCTTTTCAGAATCGACCTGGTCACAAATGATAGCTAAATGAAGTGCCTTATGTGGACATTTATAGCAGCCGAATACTCTAAAACACATGATTCTAAATGCTGAGGGAATAACCTGAGGACCCGGAGGAAAAATCCACACGACCACGGTAGAAGAGACACGCAAGCTCCAAATATACAGCAGGCGTCAGGGTCGGGATCGAACCCACAAGCTCCTCCATACCAGGCGAGGTAGTTGACATCTCTCCACGGACAGAGAGACACGCAAGCTCCAAATATACAACAGGCATCAGGGTCGGGATCGAACCCACAACCTCCTCCACACCAGGCGAGGTAGTTAATATCTCCTAGCCACCGTGGCGCCCAGTCAGCCCCACGATGGCACGCTCAGGACCCGGGTGCATGTCGATGTTCTGCCTGATGCCCTCACCACTGTGGTGCCCTGCACAGCCATTCCCCAATGGATGTGCATCTCTGATGGATGCAGAGGTGGGTGGCGGGGGGGGGGGGGGGGGAATCTCCAGTGTGTTACACCTGCAGTCCCATTTCACCATCATTTTAAGATGACATACAAATTACTCAATTCGGACCGTACATAGCAAATACTGCCCCCCTACTGGCAGAATAATTCTCGGGTCAAACTTGTAAATGATGCCATCCTAGTCTCTCGAGTTCTCGCCTAGCTTTAACGAGATAACTTACTGTTTGGGGTTCCACAATTTGAATGAAATTGAAGGAAAAGGGGAAATGAACAAACTGACAATCACACTTTAACGGCCCAAAGAAGTTCAGCCATACGCTAAACGATCCATTATTTATTACAAAATAATCATCAGCGGCGTGGAAAATATTAGTAACAAAATAAATAAGCACACAATACGTCTCCCTTCATATATTTATCTCTCCACGTAAAAAAATAAGCTTTTTTTTTTTTTACATCCCATCAGCTACAAAGCCTTCTGGTCATGCATAATTTCAATATTCAACACGAGAAAACTCTGGACCGGTTTCGACACACAATGTCTCATCAGCAGAGTCAGCCTTGCTTGAACAATATGCTGGTGAACTGCCAGATGCTAGAGGTAAAAGACCCTAACATGCAATCGTAAGACTAAATCCTACGCCTTGTCGTATAGAATCCGTAAAATATTTTTTTTTGTTCACAAGGTTATATTTAAAGACTTTGGTTACAAATTGGCAAGGTAAGACATTACTATCATACTTAAAACGCTGTCTGTTCTAAGACCAAGACTTGTTAAGCCAGTTAAGGGATCACATGCCAAAAGAATGGACTTATAAAATCATGTTGTCAAATTTGAACGGTGTTCATATTTTTTTATCAAATTAAGCTTTTTGCTTTGCAGTGCACTTATAAGCATTGGTAAAAATCTGTAAAAAAAACGGCCTCATTAATTTGAACAATTTAATTTATTTTGAAAGTCTTTATCATGAAAAAAATAAAACTCTGCTATAAAGGTTAACAAATTTACTGCACAAAGGACAGATGATGTTAAAATATGGAAAATGTGTCCATCGCAACGCTTTTGTGGGTTACATCTCATCGTTCATGCCAACAAAAGACGAATTAGTTGTTAAACTTCTCCGTATATTCTCCCATGTCTCAATATTGCAGCGTTTTGCTCTGTAGGTTTTCTGACATTTCCCTTAAAACTCTATCCCCCATCCAGAACGCCCACATTTTAAAAAATAACCCACTCAATTAGCTTAAGAATATTAGCGCGCTGGCCTCATTTTAAAACCCTTATCCCTTCGACGTCTATACGTGGAGCAGAGGCTGCATCAACTATCCATGAGCCGTACAAAAAAAACACTCGTTTAAGAGACGCCAACCGCCGCTCATCAAGCGAGCACACCCCCGCTTCGTTCAGCTAAACCCCCACGCAAAACAATCTCACTACCGCTCATGACGCGGTTCCCATCTCCCATCTCCAAGCGATCCACCAACACTGGATGATAAAAGAGCCGGAGATAACGGATACACTTCGCCGCAAGAAACCTAACGACAATCCACCGATTTTTTTTTACTTTAAAGAAATTGACTCTCGAATATTGGGGGCGGGGCGGGTGGCTTTTTTGTACGCACATTTCTGTAATCCGATTCGTGCTGCCCCATCCAATATTTACAATCGCATTCACAAACCGGGGCAGTACTGGCCAAATCACAAGATCACTACTCCTGCAGTATTTCACGTGCGTGCGCCACTTATCGGTGCGTCTACGAGAGAATTCCTGCAGGCCTCTGCAACAACCTCATCGGGGCCGTTCCCTGAAATTTTTGTTCCGAGTTACTATTTTCGTTCGAGCTTGGGTCGGAGCTCTGCCGTATCGCTTCCCGAAAAATCGATGAGCCTCCGACACAAATCGATCCAGCCGTGGTTGCACGTAGGCAACCACTAGTGTGATGAACAGAAAATGTTCATGGGAGAAAACTTCCATCCTCGTACTTGCAGTCACTTAACAGAAAAAGGGTTTGCTCAGCCACAACAGAGGTGGGCATATTGCATTTTTTTTTTACGTGTCCAGAAAAAAAGTGTGACGGTGTGTCGTGGTCTCAGCTTGGTCATCTCTATATTTCGTAGTCGCTATCTTTTTCCTCATCTCAGCCTGGTCACCTCCGCATTATTCACCGTCAGACGTGTTTGTGAAAGTGTAGCCGTGTACACACGCGCGCGCGCGCGTCGTTCGGTCAACGTCGCTGTGTGGAACAGCGGGCAAACGTGCGCGTGCGTTTCAGTGGGGAGCTGCTTACCCCAAAAGTGTCCACAGTATCAGCGCAACGCTACTCCCCCGCGTCCGATCGCTCGGCCGCCGACAAGACACGAATAGGTACACACCCACACACCGCTGGCCGTGCGTGTCCCCCGCATCTTCACCCTCACACGCGTGGGTGATGCGCCCGAGAACAAGAGACGTCACATGAAGTTATCAAGCTCGGCATCGAGCGCAGCTGCCATCTCGTCTGCCTCCGAGCTGCTTCCCTCCGGCTCCTCTTCCTCCTCCTCCTCCTCCTCGCTCTCGTCTCTCCTGCGCTTGTGTCCTCTGTTGCGCGCGAACACACGCACGCACACACACACACACGGTTCTCGTTGCATGCACACAGCAGCAATGTCACCTGCCCGTCAAATCCACCCCACGTGGCGGATGACAACAGTGTCCGCAACTGCTTGCGCATGTGGCTAAGGAGATGTGATCTAGTAAGGAGGGACAGCCTGGGATGAACCAGCTTATATGACAACTCACGTATATTTTTTTTTTTGGGTGTGTGGTGGCACATGCCTGTGAACCGCCAACTCAATTGCCTCAAATGCCACATATATATTTCCACTTTGGGGCAATGCTATTGATGAAAGTTTACGATGGTGATAATGCGTAAAATGATGCCAACTCCTTGATAAAAGTGCCGAATATGCCGATGATAAACACAAGAATGCCAGCACTGCTGGCAACGCCATTGGTACGGCTCCTGCTGCTGACGATGATGCTGACACTACCGTTAACGACACTGATGCTGATGGATAATGCTGCAGTTTCAAAAATAACACCGGTGATGCCAAGATAATCATACATATTTTTATTATTGCGTCTTTCATGACATCATTATTCCACGGTGCCTTACCAAGTAAAGCATAGGTAAAGATAAAGATGCAGGCGTACAAATAATCGCTCACACCGCTGTCAGCAGTAAGGGCCTCCCCCCCCCTCCAGCAGAGGGTATTTTTGCATACTCTTCCACGCTGCTCAATCATCTTGGAAGAGGGTGAGAGTACTTCCAATCGAGCCCGCTGCACGGGACCTGCATTGTTTCGACTGCCGCGCACGACAGACCAAAACCGGTGACCTCTTCTAGATTGCAAGTCCAGTGTGAAATGTGCCAACCATTAAACCAGTGGTTCTTAACCTTTACCGCTGCCTTGCACCCCTTTGGTTCTCAATCGTTAAAAAAAATGTGCAATGTTAATAAACACATGATGAAACAAAGAACTCGTACTTACATACCCGTGTTTAATGTGTTTCGATGTATTTACCCTCTAAAGCAATCTGGCCATGTCTCACACCCCGAGAAGGGGCATCTCGCACCCCCAGCGGGTGCGTGCACCCCAGGTTCAAAACCACTGCATTACACCATGGCAGCGTCCTTTACCAAGTACGTGACAAGAATCCACAAACCAAACCACCTCCACTAATGCTCGTGCAACACTGTACCCATGGTGCACACTTTAAACACATTTCACTCTAGTCATCGCTTCCATGCCAAGTTCGATTGGAAAGGGCACTGAGCTCATTAGCCCTTGCTATGATGCCTCATTAAAATAATCGGAGCCCACGACGTAACTTTCTGCAGGAGATGATGAGCTACCGCCAAACTCAAACTTGATACAAAAAAAGCATCTATCACCAGAAACAAATTAAGCATGAGCAGAAATGACAGGAGACGTGAGTCAGCTAATCTGGCCTCCAGCGACGGGTTGTGATTCATCACCACCACTCCCCCAACCCACCCACCCCCCTGACAATTAAAGCAATTGTCCCAATCAGGGGACACGCTTAAATTCAAGGTTATTTGTGTAATTGTATCTGTCTCACCTGAACAACCTTTGCCATATGCTTAGTCTGTGTAATGTCTGCCTCACTTGTACTGCTTTTCATTTGCTCACTAATTTGTTGTTGAACACTAGCCAAGGAAAAGTTTGCACGTAACTTACCCCCCCCCCCCCACCTTATCCCATTACCTTTCCACGGACTTATCGTTTCTTTCTCGCACCACAGCCGTGAACGTCACACTGAAAATGACCATTCCAAAAAGAGTAACACTCGTCATTATGCGAATGGGGATGATGCTGCCGACAATAAAAAAAAAAGATGCTAACGCGAATGGGAGAAGACACTGGGTGACTGCGAAATGACTATAACGTTTGTGGAGATGACGCCGAGTGACTGCCAAATGATAATAACAACGTGAGATGAGTTGACGCTGGTGAGACCACGACGATGCGAACAGTGGGAGAGGATGCTGGTGTCCGTGAAACCACATTGGGCCTCACGCTGTCAGGCGCTCATCACCGCGGGACGCTGCCTTCAAGGCTGCCGCCGCTCGATGACGAAGGGGGCCTCTCGATGAGCGTCCCCAGCTCCTCCTTGCTTTGCGGGGGGGCCCTGCCTCCGGCCCCCCGCTCCACCTCCATCTCGGGCACACAGGGGGCACCGGTGCGGGCAGAGCTCCCTCCAGCAGCCTCCGCCGTCTCCGCCGTCTCCTCCTCCTCCTCTTCTTCCTCCTGCTCCTCCTCCTCCCCGTCGCTCTCCTCCCCAAGGATGTCATCCACCTGGCCACGCCACCACAATGCACCGCTGAGATGGGTAGCACTCAAGGGAGGTGGCTCGGTTGGCCACAGCGGCGAAGGGTTACGGTGCCCGAGCCACAACAGTGAGAGGCAGTTCCTGGTGGCCTTTGTGCCGTTAAGGTCGGCGTCTGGTGGCTAAACGGTAGAGCGTGCGGCTCACGAGCAAAAGGTTGCGAGTTCAAATCCACGGCTTGGGGGGGAGGTGGGGGGGGGGGGGTGGGTGAGAGGTTGATTCACCTCCTTGTCCATGCTGTCCAGGTCGTCCTTGGACAGGGTGTAGAGCGGCAGGGCCTCCGACATGCTGGGCTGCCTCTGCCGCCGACTCCCCTCCGGAGCGTCCCTCACTTGCTGCTGGCTCAGGCACCTGTGTGCAAAGCGTTACGAGGCAGCGAGCAGAGGAACAGGTGGTAAAAGAGTCTGCATGCGTCGGGGGACACCCAAGATTTGTTTCGCCACTGAGAAAGTTTGCGCGGAGAACAACAGAGCTATATTAAACTATTTATTGTGTTTTACAAGGTAAGGTCCACTGAGCTACAGAGCTCTTTTTCACAAGCGACGTGACCACAATCGGTCAACGAAATGGCTTATCACGCAGACATTTATAGCAGCCAAATACAGTAAAACCTTGGATTGCGAGCATAATACGTTCCGGAAACGTGTTTGTAATCCAAAGCACTCGTATATCAAAGCAAATTTCCCCGTAAGAAATAATGGAAACTCAGATGATTCGTTCCACAACCCAAAATTTTTTAATTTAAAATGATTAATACAAATACCTTTTTATTTAATATAAAGTAATCAAATTTATTAATTAAATTTAATCGTGGCTGGTGTGACGGAGACGAGAGAGAGGAGGAGGGTTATTGTGTAGGACGACTTTCACTGTCACTAACGGAATCACTGCTATCTGTTGGCTCACTGGAATCTTTTTCTTTTTGTGCGACTTTAACAAAGAACCCATCCAATGACACTTGCTTTTGCCTCCTTTTGAGGATTTCGTGGAAATGTGACATTGCATTGTCACTACACTTGGACACAAAATTTAAAAAATGCTTTACACACACACACGTGGTCACAACACTATAGTAGTGTAGTAAACAGTATACACGTGGTCACAACACTATAGTACTATAATAAACAGTATACGCTCGTACGGATGTTGACTATACGAGTGAGGCACGCCGACTGAGACCGAGCATGGGAGACGATTACCCACAATCCCGCAGCGAGAGAAGAACCATCGGCTCAGTTGTGATCACGTGACGCTCGGCAGACAAAGCGTATACGTACTACTCGTATTGCAAGACCTCGCTCGTTTGTCAAGTTAAAATTTATTTAACATTTTTGCTCGTCTTGCAAAACACTCGCAGACCAAGTTACTCGCAATCCAAGGTTTTCACTGTACTCTGAAAGCATGTTGATTCTAAATGTGGGGGGAAAAAACTCTGAGGACCCGGAGAAACATCCACACGACCACGGAGAGAACATGGAAACTCCAAACACACCGTGCGTCAGGGTTGGGATCAAACTCACGACCTCCTGTATACTAGTCGAGGTAGTTAACACCGCGGCACCAGTTGAGCTGCCACAAGCGGCCCGGTAATTTCGGCCACGGCATTACTACCAACGCGTGGCCGGGCATTAAAAAGCACATCATCCACAACATCATCAGAATGATCATGGATTGTCAGCCGAGGAATGTAATGTGTCTGAGAAAACGTCAACCGAGGAGATGGAGTCATGAAAGGAATTGAACGTGCAGACGCTGGGTGGCTTATCACATCGCAGGATCGTGAGAGGCGGTGGCTTGGGCAGGCCTTCGTCCAGCACGGTTGATGATAAATGACCGTGGCTGATAATGATGATGATCACCATCCACAACAACACTAATTAGAGTTGCTGGATCGTGGGTCACTACGACGCCACTTTCATGTTTTGAACATGTCAATGCAGTGACGCAACTCGGAAACCATGACGGCGCTCCTGACTTTTTCACGAAGCTCAAAACCCACGACGGACAATCCGCGACGCCAGCGTCGACGTTCGTAACTACTCCAAGCCTTCTTGATACCCGAGCCTTTCTTTCACGACGCGAAAACCGGCTCAACACCCCGAACGGCGTCTAAGCGCTGGGCAGCAGCAGCAGCAGCACTCTCGTACCTGAACGGCGAATGGTCGTCATGCCCCAGGCCCCCGGCAGGCGCCGGCGTTATACTGGGCACCTGCTGCTGCTGCTGCTGTTGCTGCTTCTGCTGCTGCAGTTGCCGTTCCTGCCGCTCCTGCCGCTCCTTTCGCTGCTGCTGCTGTTGCTGCCCTTGCCAGCTGCTGGCTCCTTGCGCGCACGACTGGACGTCGCCCCTCCTCAGCAGGCGCCCCGTTACGGGGTCGTACACGCGCGTCTCGGGCGGTGCCGGCGCCGTGCTGCCCCGCGGGTGCATGGGGGTGGGATGCAGCAGAGCGTGGCGGGCGCCGGCGCTGGCGCCCGCCTCCGTGTACGTCGCTGGGCTGCTGCTCCTGTCAGGAGGCCACCGCGGTGGGAGACGGTGGGTGGGGGGGCGGGGAGTGTTGTACATATTATTATTTGCATTGTTACGTTGTTGAATCAGCAACATTGCATTTCACAATATGATGGTTATCAAGATATCGTGTTTTCATATTTCCAGTTTCCCATAACTTTGTAATTGGACTTCACGTTTTCTGTCATCGTCTCGTGCTGTGACGTACAGTAAAACCTTGGATTGCGAGCATAATTCGTGCCGGAAACGTGTTTGTAATCCAAAGCACTCGTATATCAAAGCACTCGTATATCAAAGCACTCGTATGTCAGTTGTGATCACGTGACGCTCAGCAGACAAAGCGTACACATACTGCTCATATTGCAAGACCTCGCTCGTTTATCAAATTAATATTTATTTTAATTTTTTGCTCGTCTTGCAAAACACTCGCAGACCAAGTTACTCGCAATCCAAGATTTTACTGTACCTCCGGTTTGAATAAGAATTACTGAGCAGTACTACAACTGCAATTCACTCGACAGAAGCCTGCCACGAGACTTCTAAGCATTGTAACTTTACAATCCATAATGTTTTGATTTAAAGCTTTCGTGACTGCAGTAATTCATATTCTTAGCTCTTTCGGTAAAGTCACGTTGTTTTATATATATTTTATTATTTTATTGTTTCCCTTCAACGTGACTTTACCGAAAGAGCTAAGAATATGAATCCATGTGTTTAATGTACATGCTGCTGCCAGTTACACAACAAATAAATTACAAGCACTAATCACTAAATCTTGACTTAAAGCTTTTGTGACTGCAGGAATTCATCTTCTTTGGGTCTTTCGGTCAAGCCACGTAGATAGGTGAAAAAAATGTCGCTATTTCTTCACCTGATGACGATTGCTCGTGTTGCGATCGAAACGTCGTGATATTTTATTATTTTGCTATCTACGTGGCTTGAGAGGAATTAAATATTTTAAGAAAAATTAAATGAGCAATGCTAATCACAAGACTATATTTTGAAAAAACTAATTTTTATAGTTCCGCTGATCTTGAATTATACGAGATTTTGTAGTATCGCCATATCACGGCGAGCCTGTTCCCAACTGTGCTACGCGAGTGATTATGGATGTATCAATTCACCCGATCCACAACTCGAGGAAATATCACAATTCATCAGGGGTCATGCTTCAACTCGCATATTAGAATTTTTTTTTTTTATTGCGGTGCGTGTATTACAATGCTTGCAAACCCTGGAAATCCTCATCGAGTTTTCAGGAGGGTCCTGATAAGTTTTCATAGTCAGGAGCTGACGATTGGGAAGTGTTTTTCAATTAAATAATTACCAAATAATTTTTTTAATCTTACAAATGTGGAACATGATGCAGCCACACATGACCTACTCTTCTTCGAATGACATCAGTCTTTAATGTCTGCACTGAAGCAGATGTGTCCTATTATGGTTAATACACCAACAGTATTAGCCAGGGCGGCCTGCTGATTCGACCCTTGAACCTCTGCAACTAGTAGAAAACGCACCATGTCACCGCCCAAGAATCTAAAGTTGCACTAATCTACAGGCCTTGTGGTCGCATGAACATTATGTACGGGACATTATTTGGAACACGAATGATTAAATGCATGGATCGTGAACTTATGAACTTATTTTAATGAGTGAACCAGAAACACGATAGCATCTCCGTTCTGGTCCAGGCTGATGTGTTTAAATTCCAAATTGCTCATCTTAATCACAAGTGCGTGTGATGGCTCAGTGATGTGACCAAGGGCATCAGTTCCCCGAGGCACTCAGTCCCTTCCACAATGCCAAAACCCTTACCGCTATCAATTTATTTCTACGGCGACTAAAAAGCAAATTACACTGACTTTGCAATGGTCGTGAAACACGACTACCGGCTATGGTTACTGACCATTAAAACCACGGAAATATATATTTTTAAGTCCGTTCAAACAACGCCCGATCGCCGACTCTGCTTGCGGGAGGGGGCCAATGTACGAGAGCCCCATCCCAGCAGCAGCATCTCCGATCAACACGGTTGGCCAAGTACGGCGCGAAAGAAGTTCAACGTACGTGCATGCAAGGCTCCACATGCGTGTTTGTACCTGTGCGTGCGCGTGTACCCATCGGTGAGTGTGAAGAGGCGCTCCTCGACGTGGTCCCAGCGATCGGCGCAGGCCCACAGCCAATCTGGCGTCACCACACGGACGCGCCTCGACTCAAGCGCTCGCCGCACTTTGTCCGTGCCTGAGCAACGCAGAGCCACAATGTGTTTGTCCAACATCAGTTCACGTTCACGTATGCTTTCGGAGGTGGGGGGAAAGCCGGAGGTACCCCCGGAAGAAAGCTGTGCAGAATAGCGGGGAGAATTTGCAGTAAGGGGCCGTCCACGAATGACGTCACGCGATTTTGGACGATTTTTGACCCACCCACACCTCGTCACACGGCGTCACAAAAAGTCAGACCCCCCCCCTCCCCTCAAATATGACGTCACGAAGCTCTGCCCCCACCCCCCCCAAAAAAATATATAAAACATGCTTCAAATCGCTTTAAACTATTGTCATTGTAGTGCGTATTTAATGTGCCGCTGCACTCTGGTGTTGTAGGAGAAAACATTTATCAAAAAGTCTATTTAATGAAGTAGAACGTGGTGTCTATATTTATTTAAGATGTGCATTTTGATGTGACGTCACGTTTCTCAAACCCCCCCCCCCCGTCACACATCGTCACAAATGTCTGACCCCCCCCCCCAGGTGCATGACGTCATTTATGGACGGCCCCTAAGGCACCTGAGTCAGGAATCCAACCTAGGTTCTTGTTGTATGTAAGGTGAACTTCATTCGCACCGTAGCCAACCGTGCTAATCGGACGTGCGGGGGAAGGACAACAAACTAAACACAAAAAGCAGTTCTAAAGAAATTAATTTTCAATCTAGATGATTTAGAAGTGCATAGCTCCAGTGACTTCCTAATATCGGAAGGAAGAGCATTCCCGACGGCCGCGTGACTGGAGTTCGCGTGATCATTGATGCTTATTGACGAGCTCTGACCTTTGACCACTTAGCCACCCATCAAAGTCTGCGGGAGGTATTTTTTTTAAGTGCCCGGTATGATGACAAACGCGCAGGAGGGCAAGACTCGGTCTGCGACCATGTGTCAGCAAACCTACTTTCTGTACTGCTTTACGCAGGCACCTCGATGTCCTACGGGTACGGTGTAACGTGCAGGTGATGACTCCATCTCTCTGTATTCCGTCTATTTACGGTTCTAAGGCACTGCATGAATTGCATACAGTGAGGGAAAAAAGTATTTGATCCCCTGCTGATTTTGTACGTTTGCCCACTGACAAAGAAATGATCAGTCTATAATTTTAATGGAAGGTTTATTTGAACAGTAAGAGACAGAATAACAACAAAAAAATCCAGAAAAACGCATGTCAAAAATGTTATAAATTGATTTGCATTTTAATGATGGAAATAAGTATTTGACCCCTCTGCAAAAACATGACTTATTTCACACCGTACGTAGCCAACCGAGCTAATCGGAAGTGTTGGGGAAGGACAACAAACTAAACACAAAAAGGAGTTCTAAAGAAATTCGTTTTCAATCTCGATAATTTAAAAGTGGATAGCTCCGGTGGCTTCCTAATACCGGAAGAGCGTTCCAGACGGCCGCAAGTGTTCACCCTGCCCACTTCTGCCTTACTCTGCAAGTGTACATGCGTGTATGTCGAACTCCTTTCGCACCGTACGCAGCCAACCGTGCCAATCGGAGGCGCCAAGTCGAAGGACCGCTCTGTGACAGCCGCTGCCGTTCACACCCACCGGCCTTAGCAGCGATGAGGTGCGTGGTGGCGCACTGAGCGCTGCTGGTATCCAGCACCAGGCTGGAACTGACGATGGCTCCCAGCGCAGAGGCCACCCGGTACTCGCGCGTGCGGTCCGCCGGGCAGTTCGTCGGAAACACTGCCGGAGAGACACCGCGCGCGGTATGAGCACCCACGGCACGCTTTGGCCGTCGTCCAACGATCCGAGAGCTGCTCTCGTTCGGCGCTCTACAAGAGCGTCGCGATGGCTATGGGATGATAACTACCTCGCCGGGTATGCAGTAGGTCGTGGGTTCGATCCAGATCCTGACGCCTGTTGAATATTTAGCGTTTGCGTGTTCCCTCTTCCCGTAGTTGCGTGGATTTTTCTCCGGGTGCTCCGGTTTTTCCCTCCACGTTTAGAATCAACATCACGCGTTGAGTATTTGTCTGCTATACATTTGCACACGACAATAAGCCACTTCGTTGAGCAATTGTTTGTGGCCAGGCCGATTCTGCAAAAAGAGCTGTATAGCTCAATGGGCCTTACCTGGCAAAAAATATATATCAACAATCCATGGCTGGGTAGTTCAGGCTGTGCCAAGCTGACACCACTGAGATCCTGCGTTTGGGGATTCAACCGGGCGCTCCAGTGCAGTGCTTCGCAACCGGTACACCGCGTTAAAGTCCAAGGTGTGCCGTGGTTATTTTGCTCACAAGCTGGGACAGACAAAGTCCCCTCCGTGCCGATCAGTGGCCAGTCGAGGCTACCGTTACATCAGTGCATGAGAAATCAGCCCAAATGTTAAACGTGTTACAATATACTGGCCGTAAGGTCATAGGTCAAGAATGCTAACCATTACACCGTGGCATGGGCCAAATTGTCATCTGAAAGGAGACATATCTGTGGGACCTATATATTTATTTTAGATGAAAGAATGAAACCTCCACTGAAGACGACGACGACCCCACGCAGCACGGAGCGGCGCAGCTCCGGCACGACGGAGCGCAAGTCCGGCTCGATCACCGCCCCCCCCGGTTCGCTCTCTCCCTGCAGCCTCCCCCGCTGCTGCTGCTGCTGCCAGCGGTCGTGCTGCACGTAGAACATCGAGTGCACGCGCGACAGCACCTCCTCCAGGTGCAGCAGGTAGTCGTCCTCCTCCTTATCGTCCACCTCGGCGGCGGCGGCGTCCGCCACCACCACCGCCGCGCCCTGCCAGCGAAAGGTCGCCAAGTTTATTTCGTTTCTTCCCCTACGGCAGTGTTCGTCACTGCAAGGCCCGCGGGGCCACTGGCGGCCCCTAGTGGCTTTTAGCGCGTCCCCTGACGTGAGGAACCCTCCCCCCCCCGGCAATGTGAAAACACCCCTATCATCGTCATGCTTTCGAACCCCAATAGTTTCAAATGTGTGGCGGCCCCACCCCCTCTGAAAATTAGTGAAAAACACTGCCCTATGGATTGCGGGGAGGTTTCTCACGTTGTGTAGCACAAGGGCACTTTTTATCAACCGCATTAAAAACCGGACCCCGTTGTTTAAAATGTGGTGCAAGGAGATAGAAACGAACCAGCGAGCGACCTATGGATCGCAAGTCCAGGGCACTGATCATAACAACACGGTAGCTCCCTTTGTATTTCCAATAAAAAAAATATAAAAATGTTGCGTTCCTTACGAGACAAACCGTTAATCGACATCTGACCAGATTTTTTTTTTCACGTTAAATTTACCAGTCGTGCAATAAAAATGTTTAAACAACCCCAATTCAAACACAGCATTATATGGCTCAGTACTCAATGAGACGTGAGCCTCACAAAGCCACCCGCGCTACTTTGGTGCTACGTCGCATCCGTACCTCGTGGGCCTTCCCCTCCTCCTCCTCAACGTCGAATTCAGGCTCAAAGGACTCTCCCTCAGTGATGCCCGACTGCTCCGTGTTCTGCGACGCGATGTCCGCGGTGTCGTGTCGCGTCTCGGCGCCGCCACCGGCACCACCGTTCTCACCCACCACCTCGGGCTCGCACGCCGGAACACAGGGCCCCGCGGCTTCGCCCAGGCGCTCCTCCCCGCCCCCTGCCTCCTCCTCCTTGGCGGCGTCACGCCCGCTCCGGACGCCGCCGCGCAGCGGTGCCGCCATCTCCGCGTCCAAGCGCACGGTTTGGCGATCGGCGGCCGCCTTCACGTCCGCCTTCACGTCCGCCTTCACGTCCGCCTTCACGTCCGCCTTCACGTCCGCCTTCACGTCCGCCTTCACGTCCGCCTTCACGTCCGCCTTCACGTCCGCCTTCACGTCCGCCTTCACGTCCGCCTTCAACGTCCTCACATCGTTGTCGTCGTCGCCGCCGCCGGACGTCGGGGGCGCCACCGCCTCGCCCTCTTCCTTCAGCGCGGCGGAGGGCGACGATGGAGAGTCGCTGTCGCTCGACAAATCAAAGTCCAGGTCGGCCTGCGCGCCGCTGCCCGCGTCGCCCCGCTTCTCGTTGTTCTGCCTGGGCTCGGCTCCCACGTCCGCCACGTCCGCGCCCGCTTTCCATTCCTCCTCCTTCAACGAAGCTGCCGCGGTGCCGTCGTCCGTCACCGTCGATCCGGCCGTCACCGGTTCCTTGGCGCCGTCCCTGAACGTGGGGTCCTTCGCGCCGCCGCACCGGCCCGTGCCGTTGTTGGTCGGAGCAGCCGGGGCCCCGCCCGCCGCGGGTTTGAGCCGCGAGTCCGCCGCCGCCGCCGCCGTCGCTTTTCCCGCACCGTCGGTCTCGGCGGCCGGGGGGCATTTGGCGACCCGCTCCGCAGGGCCGCGCGAGGACACCGCGTTAGGCGACTCTGCCGATGCCTGAGAAGAACTCTCCGGGGTAACCTTGGCGACGTTATTTCCTGGAGAGAATTCAAAACAAATTCGCGCGTAAACAAAGAGTTGACTTTTGAACTATGTTGTTTTTGGCGGGTGTGATCGTTGAGTATTGTGGTGGTGTTAGAACCATGCAGGGCTGCTTGTTCTCTTCTCAGTAACGCAATACAAAAATACTAAGTATGGTGGCTGCAGAAATTGTACTGCTTACTAACCAGCACCTGGGTAGTAAGCACATTGTGTGAACAAACACAAACTCATAAATTGCTCCGGGGAGACCAAGATGCCAGGTCTCCTGCTATTTTTGTAAACCAAAGCAAGTATTATTGTATTTTCACCATGAGACTTGCACCGTAATAAATACAAATCGACAATTTTATCACACGTTTGCCTAAAATAGCTGTAAATTGGTTGTAGCATTAATAAAACTAAAATTTAATTGGCATGTGGAGGAAATACAAAATGCATTATCTTAAAATTAAATGCAACTGTGTAAAAGAACCAGAGATAGAGGGATTCCTGTAGCGATACTACTACACTTAATTGAATAACGGTGCTATTACACATGTAGAAATCCTAGTGACATGAACAAACAAAATCCATATTTTACAAATATCCTAAAATGACGCTAAAAGCCTCCCCCCACCCCCATGTGCCCACACCACATCCGCGAGCTTCACAAACTCCAGTCCATGCTCCATCACAGTCAAGCTTTCCATGTTCACCAGTCTCCATTTAAATGCAAATCAAGTATGGATGTATGTGTGTTGAACTTCTTTCGCACCGTACCAAGCCAACCGTGCTAATCGGACGTGCGGGGGAAGGACAACAAACTAAACACAAAAAGCAGGGCAAAACAAAAGAAGTTTGGCAATCAAGATGATTTAAAAGTGCACAGCTCCAGTAGCTTCCTAATATCAGAAGGAAGAGCGTTGCAGACGGCCGCAGAAGCGCCTCTGAAAGCGCACGATGCGGTGACCCGCCATCTTCATTCAACGGCCAACTAAAAGCCGCTGCTGCGAGGATGACCACCGGATTTCGCGTGATGATGGTTTATGGTCCTTGACGAGATCAGCAAGATAATGTGGTCCATTTGTGGCAAGTCTCAGACACATTGCACGCATCCCACTCATGATAAATATAGCAAAGCCTACATTGCAGGAGGGGTAATGGAGTTCAGCGTTCGGTGAATCTGTGCATTATCCTGAAACCTCAAATGAGCGTGACTGCCATGTGACCAATCCGAATCAAGAGACCAGCAGGGCATGTGAGAAAGTTGGTGCCACTCAGTGTGGACAAGAGGCAACTGAGAGTACTAATAAACAGGTGGTTCTGTGTTGTCATCTCCAAAGCGAGTGGTTCCTAACCTTTCTGGACCAGCTGGCCACCGTCCTCAAAAACAAACGAAACAAAATCGATTGGATCTGCAACAATGTGGGTCCACACTCGTGCGGCGTAACACTGCGCATGCGTGCAGGAAGGGACGTACCCCTGCGCTGAGCCTCGCGCGAGCCCGGCGGGGCATTGATGTCGCCGGTACCCTGGAAGTAAACGTACTTCCGCACGGCAACCAGGTTGGGCGCCGACCTCCACACATCTTCGCGGTCATCGATGATGCACACCATCGAGTCGCCGCACGGAAAAAGGTTTCTGAGCAAGAAAACAAACATGCACATTCACCGACGGTGCACGCTCGCGTGTAAGCAAGCAAAGGTGAGCATTCATGTCGCCGTGGAAATGAATTGTCCGACAGGATCACTCACTTGAGGTTGCCGGTTTTGCAGTAGGGATCTATGCACTCGTCTCGGGAAAGGATTCTGTGCGAAAAAAGCTTCTTTTCCGGATCCAAAAATCCTGCGGTCACGATAAACAAATGCATTCTTTCATTCACCCATTGGAAGGTGGCATCAAGTGTAACACGGTGTAGAGGTATATTTTTGTTTTTGTGAAATGTTTGACGAAAGTAATGCACATTTCACGTAATTATTTGTGGTTAAAGTGGGACCATCAAATTGAAAATGAAACGCTTTAAAAATACGTATTATTTATTTAAAAGTCACATTTTACACCAACTAGGCGTGGTGTGGACCCTGTCTGACTGCTCCTTTTCGGCAAATCATGGTACAGGTTTTCACTGCACGTAACAGCACAAGGTTCTGATATCTGCCGCAGGCAAACCAAATATTTTAACAAAAAATTTGCGATTCATATGTGATTTTTGGGTTAGGCCACGGAATAATCTAGCCAAATGTATATATTAGTAGTGTGGTGAGTTGCAGTTGTAATGTTGAAGTCGTTGGTTGGTGTAGAGGCTGTGATTGTAAAAGTTGCTGTTGTGGAGCACTGCGATTGTAGCGTATGTTTGTATGTTGAACTTCTTTCGCACCGTACGTAGCCAACACCTGTGCTAATCCAAGGTGCAGGGGAAGGAAAGTTTTAATGTCAGAAAATAAATTATGAATCGAAAAATATTGGCCGTGAAAACCCCACCTGTTCAGTTAGCCATATATTCAGTCCGGCCGATTTTACGGACTTTAAAAAGGTCCAGTCCTGACAATGACACACGGCCGGGCGGACCCACCGGCGATGGTGTGTGCGTAGAGGCGGCTGCCAAAGGTGAAGACGTGCAGCTCGTAGAGCTCGGCGATCTTCTGCAGGAAGGAGCGGCAGTGGGGCCGCAGTCGCGTGTGCAGCATCGGCTGACCCTGGCCAAGCTGGAAGTGGAAGATTCCCTAAAGGACGTCGGAGCAATGGGGGTCATCGACGTAAGCATTAGCAGACGCGGATATTCAGCGGCAAAGCCATTTCCTGCTAAAGTGAGCATTGAGGCGTGTGCGAGTGCGTTGAACTTCTTTTGCGCCGTACGTAGACAACCGTGCTAATCGGAGGTGCGGGGGAGGGGGGAGGAAGGACAACAAACTAAGCACAAAAAGCAGTTCTTAAGAAATGAGCTTGCAATCTCGAAAGCAGTTCTCATCTCCTACTTCAAGCAAGAGAACAGATAAAACACTTACAATAACACCTCTTCATAAGTCATATGAAAAAAGAAGCCACGAGCAGGCAGTGGACATTCCACGTTCCTATGTCAGGGGTGAGTCTATCCATAAGATACAACTACTGTTGACTTGCAAGCAAAGCGGTACCCAGAGAGACGATGGGCCGAGTCAACCCCCAACCAGGATTGAACTCGCAACCTTCCGATTGCGAGCCGCTCACTCTACGGCTGAGCCACCTGACTGGAACATTAACACAATGCATGTCAATGATGAAGTATAGCACTGTGTTTTTAAAACGACAAGCAAGGCTTGGATACAAGCGAGGCTTGGATACAAGCGAGGCTTGGATACAAGCGAGGCTTGGATACAAGCGAGGCTTGGATACAAGCGAGGCTTGTATTAAGTTCGCTCCATGTACCCAGGTCCTTCAGCTGTAGGTTCCCCACCCCTGCCATTTATTCGTGACATATGCAAGGCATTAATGTGAATCCATAATAAAGTTTTTTTTGGGTTAGATCACGTAAATGTAAAAGCGTCGTTAAACCCACCACCACCCGACACAGCCAATTAGTAAGGTTTGTCGCGTAAACAAAACGTGGCTAATTAGTTACTTCAGCAAGTCTGTTGGAGGTTAAACCGATAACAATTCCAATTCGAGTACGGCGTTTCGCTGGTGATTCCAACCACCTTCGTTAGACAATTGCTTGTTGACAATTTTCCAACGTTGGCCTGGGGAGCTTCGTCTGCTCTTGCAACCCAAGCACGCTGCGAGCGGCTCTTGCAACCAACCACGGCGGTCCCACCTTGCTGCTCATGTGCGGGTAGCTCTGCTCCGTCGTGTGGATGAGCGTCTGGTCCAGATCTACCATGAGCACCAGCTTGCGGCTCCGCAACAGCCGCTGCTGATCCTCACGTCCCAGGCTCTCGGCTTGCTGCGACGGCAAGCGCGCGCGCACACACACGCACGCGACACAAACGACACGCGCGCGAGAGAGAGAGAGCAATGAACAGTTGGGGCTGGGTGAGAACGAGCTGCGTGTCAATGCGTTCACTCCTGGGACGGTTCGCTAGAGCGCACGCCAGAGGGCAGAAAGCACATAGAATTAAGTCGTCGCCTGCTGTATAGCAAAAGCTAATGTGTACCGGCGTGACAGCCCAACTATATTTACGGGACATTTTTTTGTTTTGCCAGTATCAAAAGTATGAAACAGTAACAATAGGTTTTACCCTATCTGGCAATAAAACAGGAGGTGATAAGATGTTCAAACACAAAATAGATTCCTTAAAGTCTGCATTAACCACACGTACTTGTGGTGAACACGCAAACAAACCAACTCGCGTATTTTTACGTATATCATTCGCCAATTGTACACCGATTGTACGATCGGCGTCATAGCAAACATAACACAAATAATCTATTACATTTTCTACCTTACAAGTGAAAAGGGTAGTTACCATTTTTAATAACTTTTGTAGGTGAACTTTTTGAACACAACACATATAACGACCGAGGGGGTCCTCATCACTGCAGAGAATAATGAGCATCACACGCAATAATATTCCAGCGCACACGGGCACATGCACATTACATATTGCACATATGTATGCCAGTGCAACCGGACCTTACCTCGGATGTGACCATGAGCTCGGGCACGCTGTGAACCATAGAGATGTTGGCTGCGGAACTCGAAACCTGCGTCTGTCCGCCTGCCTTCGCCAACCTGGGGGCAAGGTCCGTGAGTAGGATCACCAAAATCCACACACACTTAAATAATAACATTCGTTAAATTGTCATATTTAAATGGCACGCAGTCACGTCAGTGGAAGACGGTTGAAAACTTTTTTTGTCACGTGAAAGCAAGACCACATGTCGATTTGATTTTACCCTGCAGGATGAAACACATTTAGAATTATCCTCTGACAAAATGAACATAAATGCACCCGATCTCGTCAGATGTCGAAAGACTGAGCCTGCTAGGTACTTGAATGAGTAACCACTGACACTTTGCAGGTGTTGAAGGTGTAAAACCAAGCGGCGGGAAAGAGATGGCAGCATTGAGTGTACTGTCGCATGTCAAACAATCATTATTGGTATTGGCCAAACACTCCAATGCGGGACACTCCTGATAAAGTCTTTAGACTCATTGAAAATAATCAGCGATATTATTTGTAAGAAAATTCAAAGGAACACCTTATCCATCATTATAAAATTCCGTTTTCTTGGAAGGTGTAAATTTTATTTCCTGCTGCAATGAGCGTTGAGGCAAGGGTGCTTGACCTCCTGTGTGTAGCCCTGAGCCATTGGAAATTCCTCATTTCTAATTGCAGGACCCAGTCTCTTCACAGAACAAAGACAAAGATCCCCCACATAGCCTTTAACAGACTGTTGGGGCAAGTGCTGTTAGCGAGCACCCATGAAGGCCAGCACAGCACACGAGGTGGGTGGCCAACACTACGCCCGGCCGCCTTTGTCTCCCTAGTGCCGTTGTTTACACATGTTTACACATTGCACCAGGTACTCATTTGAGGCCGAGTCGACCAAGGGAGAGGCGCAGGACCGGTTCAGATAATGGTCACTGGTGTTGGCTGTGAGCAGGGCTCGAAGCGTTAGCGCGCTAACAGCTACACTATCGCTCCCCACAACACACACAGACGCTCACCTCCTGAGGTCCTGCCCACACTCGGCACATAGTCCCTTCATCACAATGGGATGGCGACAAGCCTCCAGCCGCAGCAGCTCTCCTCTGTTACACCCACGGAAACATGCAAACCACACGGCAGCAGCACAGAGAAGCGGTGGCGAGAAACATTGTCTCCCTCGCCAGGTACGCTGAAGGTCGCGGGTTCGACCCCGACCCGGACGGCCCCTATTGTGTATTTGTAGTTTTGCGTGTTCTCTCTCCCCGTGGTTGCGTGTATTTTTTTTCTCCGGATCCTCCGGTTTGCACCCTTCACATTTACAAGCACGCAATTATATGATTTGGCTGCGAATATAAATCCCCACATGTGACGATATACGGCAGTGCAATGAGCTATCGTGTGGCCAGGTCGCCTCTGGAAAATAGCTAATAGCTCAGTGGGCTTTACCGGATGAATAAAATTGAAGTAATGGTAGTATCAGAGGTTTTCTGGGTGAATGTTGTAAGGTTTACTCTCCAACAAAATGGTGCGCTGAACTCGCAATCAATTGGCATATTTTGTTTATTTGACAAAACTAATTGGCCGTGTCGCGTGGTGGCGGGTTTAGCGACACATTTATATTTATGCGATCTAGCCCAAAAATAACTATTGTGGATACCATTGGTCGCGGAAGCCAACTACGTGACAGTAATGGTAGTAGTTTAGTAGAACTCTTCAGCAATCAGGTCGGACAGACGCTCGATGTTTTGAGGTCTGCGTTCGCGTAGCAGTTAATCGAGCCTTTGACAGCGTCACATACTGCAATGGTTTTGTATCGAAGGAAGTTAAAAAAAATGTTTTACCGTTAATAAGAAGCACATCTCATGTTATTTATATAAATGTAACCACATCCCAAAGCCGTAATCTTAACCACGCTCACCTTAACGCTTACACTCTCCAAAGCTGAAGCTCGCAATGATTGTTAAACATTCCTCATTTGGTGTAAATAAAGCATTTCGAAAATGCATAACTTTGCAACGCCACGCATACATTCACACTTTGCACACACTGATATGTTTTACAGCATCACTGCAATGGGCTTTCCCCACGGTGGTTTGTCAATAAATGTGAATGCACAGTACAGAGCTGGAATCCTAACGGGTTCTTTAAAAAGGGTGCGATTTTAATGTGGTGCATAATCAATAAGTAGTGCATTAACCGAATGTTTCATCCCATCCATAACATTTTAAACCACTACACTTGCAGGTTAAAACACTTCAATTCCTGCTTATTTCGTGTCACTGCTCTGCTTTGAAATTCTCCCAGAATCTCTATCCACGAATGATAATAACCTTGCTCAATTCAAAACGTGTTCATAAATTATCATTATCTGGAAAAAAATCAGCCAGGTGGCTCAGTGGTAGCGAGTTAAAATCCTTGCTTCAGGAGTTTACTCAGCCCATCATCCATCAGGGGACGATAAAACAAGTACCACTTTGTGGGGAAGTCAACAGTGGTTGTGCTATCAAATTGATTTGCCCTTACCACAGGAATGTGGAATTTATACCACTTGTGCAGGGCTGTAATCGGGATATAAGCACAATATCAATACTCATTTGAAAAGGAAATCGCTATTTCTGTAAATTAAAGTTAATTCTAGTCTTAAAATCTCAAAAAGTCATGAACCATCTTCACAGATTAGCCACTTGAGCTGTTAAAATTAATCAGTCACTGAGCTGTTTTTTTTTTCAAACTTCACAAGGCAACGTGATGCTTTCTATCACCCGTTTCACTTAAATCTAGAGTTGTCAACACCTTCGAATATAACTGTATTGCGCTACAGGCATCTTGACATGACTATAATAACTGCTGTTCTGGAACTCACAACAACAGTGATATGATGTCAAAAGTGTTGGTGAGTTCACAACTGACATCACAGCCTATGTATAATATCATTCAAGGGTACAACCACATTTTACTTAATTCAGCTGCTGCAGACCAGTGAATGGGATGTGTGCAATCTGAAAAAAATAAGCCCTGCAGCACTGGAAATAATTGATTAAAGGACACAACACAAAAAACTAAGAGCTCTTCCTGACACACAATACTTTCTCTATGACGTAAACGAATTATATTCTTGTTTTTTTCGGTTAAGTCACGTAGAAGGGAAACAATAAAATAATACAAATATAAAACAATGAAATTATCACGACGTTTCGACTGCAACACGAGTAATCATCATCAGGTGTGAAAACCACAACAAGAAAATTAAAAAAAAAATCTTGTTGTGGTTTTCACACCTGATGATGATTGCTTGTGTTGTAGTCGAAACGTCGTCAGAATTTTATTTTATTGTTTCCCTTCTACGTGACTTTACTGAAAGAACCAAGAATATGAATCCCTGCAGTCACGAAAGCTTTAAATCGTAAATGAATTAGTTTTAAACTTTTGTCACTGCAAAGAACTTCAAAGTTAGTCAGGCATACCATCACAACAAGTTATTATTCAGATGATGAATTCAAATGTGTGGGAGTGAAATGAAGTGCTACAACAACACATTTCACCAATAACTCAAGCGCTTTTTTCTTGATTCAAAGCTTTCATGACTGCAGAAATTACTCTTTGGTTCTTTCGGTAAAGTCACCTAAAAAGAAATTATTTATTATTTTATTTTATTTCTTTCTACGTGACTTTACCGAAAGAACCAAAGAGCTTTTTGTCTTCTTCTCATCACTAAAGAAAGCTTTCCAACTCCTGTTAGACAGCTCGGGACACAGCTTCAGGAACACATCTACAAAGCACTATTTTTTTTAGTTGTGCCATCAACCTTCAAGCTATTCAACGACAGACGCCCAATAAATGTTCAGGTAAAAAGATTGGAATGTATTATATACGTTTGGTCCTTGTGCAAAATCAGGGCGCTGCTAAATTTCCTTTCCTGTTGCAACCTGATAACCGATTCATGGACTGCTCAGCTACTTCAGCACAGCTGACACTGCTGAAGTCGTCATCGTCGTCTTGCTGCTTCCACATTCGTACGCTGTTCTTAACTCCTTTCTCTTTTACCAGATTCACACACTGAAGCCAAATAAGTTACTCCGTCTCTCCCCTCAGTCCCTTGTTTACATCATTCTGCGAAGGAAACGATTTGCTCCATATGGGTTTGTCCCACCATGATCCAAGAGCTAAACCTGATCATTACGTAACCACTTTCACCAGTAATGCACCCCCCCCCCCCCCCCCCCATTGCGAGCATTAATCTTTGACCTTGTGATAACTGCTTTCTATCACAGTAAGCTGAAGCTGCACTTACATCCACCAATCTATACGAGCTTGCTACCATTGGCACTCAGGCCCTGCTGAAGCCAAATTTGTTGGGGTCTGAACCGAATGCTAGTTATTAGGTTTTAAGAAATAACATTTTTGCTACAGCAATCAACCGTGGTGGAATTTCTTTCACACTCTCGCTCAGTTTCGCAACGCTGAATGTGAGTCGCAGAACGATGCCCGAATTCATCGATCAACATCAACGATTGCACTTATGGTACTTGCGCATCAAAATGCTCGTGAAAGAAGCAACGTTTTGCAATTCACATGGTTACATAAAGTGTTCATTGCACCCATGTAACCACCGGATGCAAGGATGTAAACAAAATAAAAAAAGGTATGAATTGCCATGTTTAGTTGTGTCGGGTGGTGGCGGGTTTAACGACACATTTATATTTACGTGATATATCCCAAACAAAAAACGATATCATGAAAAATAAAAAATAAATCTTCATTGGAATCTAGACTGATGCACGACCATTCATCAATTTGCCAGGCATGGAGGAAAGCTGCATTATTCCAAGGTGTTCAATTGTTCCTCTATATCCGTTGCCCATTAAGAGGAACTTCCATGAAGCAGGCTACTTTATTGAAAATGGACAGGACAATCTGGCACCAATTGTATTGGTTAACCGTAAGTCACATTTTTACAGTTTTCCAAAACGAAATGTGCCAGTCTGTGTAGGTTTTCTTGTGGATGGTATTTTATTTACATCAGGCCATAACATTACTCTATTATCGAAGAATACTGCAAATTTTTAAAAGGTGCGTTTTAAAAGTATTAATAAAGGGCTCACAATAATATCGACTCATTTTTTGTTTTATATTTTTATTATTTTGTTGTTTCCCTTCTACGTGACTTTACTGAAAGAACCAAGAATATCATCAGAAACATTGCTAACATGTTTTTTTTCAAAAACATGAAAATCAGTTATATATAAATGTATATCTATATAATTCATGACATACGGAACAGCTCTGTTATAAAACTATGAATGAGCAAGATCCCTACATTTAATTGCATGTAATTGTACTATGATCAATTTAACAATTGACGTTGAGAAAAATCCCTCTTCCAAAAATATACAAAAAACTACTATTGGAGGAAACGTCCTCCTGTCATCCGAGCCGTTTGTGCAGATAAGGAACTTGACGTTGCCTCCTGGAAGTACTCAATCCTATTATCCGTGCCGTCCAGAAGAAGATAGGAGAGACCCAGAAATGGCAGAAAATTCATCCCGTCATCCACAAGTTTATTCATGCTTTACCGTTTGGATAAAACAAGTAATTTGCAGGAATAGCACGATCCGTGTACTTTTAGATTTTTTTCAAATACTTTGTCAGATGTCATGTTTCCAATCTATGTCTTGACAGCTAGTATGCACTGATTGAAAACGTTATTCTTTAGGCACATGCATCATGGATATCCCTTGTAAAATAGCCAGGTAACTGGCTAAAACAGTCATCTGTGTAACATATCAAACAAACTCAAACTCACTGGTATGTGGCTTCTATTACTAAACTATATATTTTTTTAAAAACCACTGGATCCTGCACTTTCTTGCATCGTTATTTAATCTATTCAACAGTGTTGAAGTGTAACTTGCATCGCATACGCTTGTGATCACTTTCTTTCTTGAATTTTCCGAGGACAGGGAAATCTAATAAAATCTGCAATTTGTCCTAGAGAATCAAATAAGCTGAACACGTAGGCTTTCGCGACTAATATCATCCATAATACAGATTTAAATTTTTGGGTTAGATCGCGTAAATATAAATGTGTCATATTCTTGGTTCGTTCGGTAAAGTCACGTAGAAGATAAACAATATAATAATAAAAATATAAAACAATAAAATTCTCACGACGTTTCGACTGCAACACAAGCAATCATCATCAGGTGTGAAAACCACAGCAAGAAAATTTTCTTGCTTTGGTTTTCACACCTGCTTGTGTTGCAGTCGAAACGTCGTGGGAATGTTATTGTTTTATATATTTATTAATTTAATGTTTCCCTTCTACGTGACTTTACCGAAAGAACCAAGAATATGAATCCCTGCAGTCACGAAAGCTTTAAATCAAAATTTATGAATGTGTCGTTACAGCCGACACAGCCAATTTGTAAGGTTTGTCACATAAACCGAACATGCCAATTTATTACTGGTACAGCACACCGGTGTGTTGGAGAGCAAATCTACAAAAATTACAATCCGAGTACGACGTTTCGCCAATAATTACAACTAGCATCATCAGGCAGATTTGATTATGCTAGTTGTAATTATATTTACACGATCTAACCTAAAAAAGCCCCTGTATTATGGAGAATCAAGTCAATTTAATGTTTTATGTCCCCATTTGAACCCTCCATGTACACATTCCCAGACTACTTTCATATATGTGACCAGCATCTTAATGTCTGAGGTTCTCTTTTCATCCACACCTCACTTATTACAACTGTCCCAATGAAAATATCTTGCTTTTGACTCGAATTCAGAAATGTTTGATTCTCGTGCATTGCATGTAACAGTGGTCAAATCCAAACGGTATGCTATTCATATCCTCTCCTTATTCACCTTCGCTGCCAATGCCATGACTAGTGGAACCAGATCTGCTGAGGAATGGGAGTCGTGGTTAAATGTGCAACATATGCAACAGACTTTTTTACCGTACTTTGCCATGCTGGTCAGTGACACTGACAAGTGAATGCAGCAGTCATGCGAGGTGAAATCTACTCGCAGTTCCCAACAATAGCCAGACAATCGCAACCACAACACCAACCCATCACCACCACAGTTGTTTAGTTTGTGGGCCTCTTTCCCGCACCTCCAATTCGCACGGTGCAAAAGAAGTTCAATATACATACAACGCTACAATTACAGTGCACCACAACACCAACTTCTACAATCACAGCAACTGCAGCTACCAACAACATTATAACTGCAACTCACTACAGGAAGAACAAACAGCAATGCACCAGTCAATTTAGTTTCTTTCTACGTGACTTTACCGAAACAACCAAGGAGTAATTCCTGCAGTCACGAAAGCTTCGAATCTAGATTTAACAGCAACTTTTCACCACTGGCCACCGCTTAGCTACAACTGTCCAAACAACTAAACACCTACACGCTTCACCAAAGCAACAATCGCCACATCAACCAAAAGTTGCATTGTGTAGTGCAGTTTGTTTGCGATGCAGTACATTTTGTTGCATCGTTGTCCACAGTCTTGCCGTGTTGTATATTGCATTATATTATAGTGTCACCGAGTCGAGTGCTTTTAATTACAGTATGTTAGTGCAGTGCATTATAGTGCATTGTACTCCAGTGTACAGAACTGTCACACCAGACCAGGCAGACAGAACAGACAGACCCAGGCGCTTGCAAACCATCACAACTTCTCACGTGAACAAGACTCACTAAAACCTGCAACAACACCACCACCACCACCACACGTAACAAAACACTCTTAACAACACCCCCTAAACAGCACGATAACATCAACCGGGCGACGGCATTCTCTCACCCCGAGGCCACTATTTGTCCGGGCGCGCAGCAGAGGCGCACGACGACGCCAGCGCTGCTCGCCTTCAGCTTCACCTCGCGGGCAGAGCGCCCAGGCGAGACCGTGGTCGCGGCCTGCTCATCCTTCGCCTCGTCCGCCTCGGGGGCCACCGTCGCCGCGTCCTCCTCGTCCCGGCCGCCTCCGCCGCCGCTGTCCTCCACCGCCGCCACGTGCGCCACCACCGAACCCATGCGCACGGCCGAGCCGGGCGCCACTTTCCACTCCAAGAGGCGCACGGCACGCAGAGTGCAGGGAACACGAACCACGCCGGCCTCTGCCATGGCTGAGTGTGAATCGATAGCTTAACGATTTGCGATCGCCAGCGCAATTTAAATCTCGAATCGTTTCGTGTCCCGTGAATTAGGAGGAAGGGGCAGTGGATCGATTCACCGTGAGAGGGGTTTTTTTGATGGGAATCGGAATCGGCCTCGTTTGCAGGGAGGTTCTTGTTTATGAAGTGGAATATGGCGGGATTTTGGTCGGTGCCTCAGAGGGTTCTTGTGCTTTTTTCTTACATTCAAGACATAATAATAATCATGCTGTTGTGAGGGTTATTTTTTTTTTAGTGATGTTGACCCCAGCGATTGGATGGGCCGCGTAGGAACTCTCACGCATTTTTAACGGCGGTAGGGAAATTTCCCGCGTCACTATCTTTATACACGATTTGTATTTAGTATTATTGTTTCCCGCGAATGTAAAGATGTTACCTATCACCAGCGAACTAACAACCGCTCTGATGAAAAATAAGAATAGGTTTTAACCCGTTCTGGCAATAAAACGAGAGGCGTTAAAGATGTTCAAACACGAAAATAGATAACCTTTTGCAAGGTATCAAGTCTGTAAACAAACCACACTGACGTGACAAAATATGAAAACAAACATGCTCTGATAATACTGTATCCATTGTCTTTGAAACTGGTTGGCCTACGCCAGAGACAACCTTCTTGATGGCCTAGTCTCACCAGTGCCAGACGAGAGACTAAGGCGAACAGTACAAAAGCAATGCACGTATCGGAACACAGCTCGGGTTGAGCAGTTATATCTTTGGGATACTAGCAAAAAGTAAACACCGCTCTCTCATTCCCCTCAGGATGGTCTCACGCCAACCACTGGATAATTTCACGCCTACCGCTGGCTAATTTCACGCCTACCACTGGCTAATTTCACGCCTACCTCTGGCTAATTTCACGCCAACCACTGGCTAATTTCACGCCTACCTCTGGCTAATTTCACGCCAACCACTGGCTAATTTCACACCTACCACTGGCTAATTTCACACCTACCTCTGGCTAATTTCACACCTACCACTGGCTAATTTCACACCTACCACTGGCTAATTTCACGCCTACCTCTGGCTAATTTCACGCCAACCACTGGCTAATTTCACACCTACCACTGGCTAATTTCACACCTACCACTGGCTAATTTCACGCCTACCACTGGCTAATTTCACACCTACCACTGGCTAATTTCACGCCTACCACTGGCTAATTTCACACCTACCACTGGCTAATTTCACGCCTACCTCTGGCTAATTTCACGCCAACCACTGGCTAATTTCACACCTACCACTGGCTAATTTCACACCTACCTCTGGCTAATTTCACACCTACCACTGGCTAATTTCACACCTACCACTGGCTAATTTCACGCCTACCTCTGGCTAATTTCACGCCAACCACTGGCTAATTTCACACCTACCACTGGCTAATTTCACACCTACCACTGGCTAATTTCACGCCTACCACTGGCTAATTTCACACCTACCACTGGCTAATTTCACGCCTACCGCTGGCTAATTTCACGCCTACCACTGGCTAATTTCACGCCAACCACTGGCTAATTTCACGCCTACCTCTGGCTAATTTCACGCCAACCACTGGCTAATTTCACACCTACCACTGGCTAATTTCACGCCTACCTCTGGCTAATTTCACGCCAACCACTGGCTAATTTCACACCTACCACTGGCTAATTTCACGCCAACCACTGGCTAATTTCACACCTACCACTGGCTAATTTCACGCCTACCACTGGCTAATTTCTCGCCTACCACTGGCTAATTTCACGCCTACCACTGGCTAATTTCACACCTACCACTGGCTAATTTCACGCCTACCACTGGCTAATTTCTCACCTACCACTGGCTAATTTCAAGGCTAGCACTGGCTAATTTCTCGCCTACCACTGGCTAATTTCTCGCCTACCTCTGGCTAATTTCACGCCTACCACTGGCTAATTTCACGCCTACCTCTGGCTAATTTCACACCTACCACTGGCTAATTTCTCGCCTACCACTGGCTAATTTCTCGCCTACCACTGGCTAATTTCACGCCTAGCACTGGCTAATTTCACGCCTACCACTGGCTAATTTCTCGCCTACCACTGGCTAATTTCACGCCAACCACTGGCTAATTTCACGCCTACCACTGGCTAATTTCACGCCTACCTCTGGCTAATTTCACGCCTACCACTGCCTAATTCCACGCCTACCACTGGCTAATTTCACGCCTACCTCTGGCTAATTTCACGCCAACCTCTAACTAATTTCACGCCCACCTCTGGCTAATTTCACGCCAACCACTGGCTAATTTCACACCTACCACTGGCTAATTTCACGCCAACCACTGGCTAATTTCCCGTCTACCACTGGCTAATTTCACGCCTACCAATGGCTAATTTCACACCTACCACTGGCTAATTTCACGCCTACCACTGGCTAATTTCTCGCCTACCACTGGCTAATTTCACGCCTACCACTGGCTAATTTCTCGCCTACCACTGGCTAATTTCACGCCTACCTCTGGCTAATTTCACGCCAACCACTGGCTAATTTTACACCTACCACTGGCTAATTTCACGCCTACCACTGGCTAATTTCTCGCCTACCACTGGCTAATTTCACGCCTACCACTGGCTAATTTCACGCCTACCACTGGCTAATCTCACGCCTACCACTGGCTAATTTCACACCTACCACTGGCTAATTTCACGCCTACCACTGGCTAATTTCTCGCCTACCACTGGCTAATTTCACGCCTACCACTGGCTAATTTCACGCCTACCACTGGCTAATTTCACGCCTACCACTGGCTAATTTCACGCCTACCACTGGCTAATTTCACACCTACCACTGGCTAATTTCACGCCTACCACTGGCTAATTTCTCGCCTACCACTGGCTAATTTCTCGCCTACCACTGGCTAATTTCACGCCTACCACTGGCTAATTTCTCGCCTACCACTGGCTAATTTCTCGCCTACCACTGGCTAATTTCACGCCTACCACTGGCTAATTTCTCGCCTACCACTGGCTAATTTCACGCCTACCACTGGCTAATTTCTCGCCTACCACTGGCTAATTTCTCGCCTACCACTGGCTAATTTCACGCCTACCACTGGCTAATTTCTCGCCTACCACTGGCTAATTTCTCGCCTACCACTGGCTAATTTCACGCCTACCACTGGCTAATTTCTCGCCTACCACTGGCTAATTTCACGCCTACCTCTGGCTAATTTCACGCCAACCACTGGCTAATTTCACGCCTACCACTGGCTAATTTCACGCCTACCACTGGCGAATCTCACGCCTACCACTGGCTAATTTCTCACCTACCACTGGCTAATTTCACGCCAACCACTGGCTAATTTCACACCTACCACTGGCTAATTTCACGCCTACCACTGGCGAATCTCACGCCTACCACTGGCTAATTTCTCACCTACCACTGGCTAATTTCACGCCAACCACTGGCTAATTTCACGCCTACCACTGGCTAATTTCACGCCTACCACTGGCTAATTTCTCGCCTACCACTGGCTAATTTCACGCCTACCACTGGCTAATTTCACGCCTACCACTGGCTAATTTCACGCCTACCACTGGCTAATTTCACGCCTACCACTGGCGAATCTCACGCCTACCACTGGCTAATTTCACACCTACCACTGGCTAATTTCACGCCTCCTCTGGCTAATTTCACGCCAACCACAGGCTAATTTCACACCTACCACTGGCTAAATTTCACGCCTACCACTGGCTAATTTCACGCCTACCACTGGCTAATTTCACACCTACCACTGGCTAATTTCACGCCTACCACTGGCTAATTTCACGCCTACCACTGGCTAATTTCACGCCTACCACTGGCTAAGTTCACACCTACCACTGGCTAATTTCACGCCAACCACTGGCTAAGTTCACACCTACCACTGGCTAATTTCACGCCTACCACTGGCTAATTTCACGCCTACCACTGGCTAATTTCTCGCCTACCACTGGCTAATTTCACACCTACCACTGGCTAATTTCTAGCCTACCATTGGCTAATTTCACACCAACCACTAGCCAATTTCTCGCCTACCACTGGCTAATTTCACACCTACCACTGGCTAATTTCACGCCTACCACTGGCTAATTTCACGCCTACCACTGGCTAATTTCACGCCTACCACTGGCTAATTTCTAGCCTACCATTGGCTAATTTCACACCAACCACTAGCCAATTTCTCGCCTACCACTGGCTAATTTCACACCTACCACTGGCTAATTTCACGCCTACCACTGGCTAATTTCACGCCTACCTCTGGCTAATTTCACGCCAACCACAGGCTAATTTCACACCTACCACTGGCTAATTTCACACCTACCACTGGCGAATCTCACGCCTACCACTGGCGAATCTCACGCCTACCACTGGCTTATTTCCCGCCTACCACTGGCTAATCTCACGCCTACCACTGGCTAATCTCACGCCTACCACTGGCGAATCTCACGCCTACCACTGGCTTATTTCCCGCCTACCACTGGCTAATCTCACGCCTACCACTGGCTAATCTCACGCCTACCACTGGCGAATCTCACGCCTACCACTGGCTAATTTCACACCTACCACTGGCTAATTTCACGCCTACCACTGGCTAATCTCACACCTACCTCTGGCTCATTTCACGCCTACCACTGGCTAATTTCATGCCTACCAATGGCTAATTCCACGCCTACCACTGGCTAATCTCACGCCTACCACTGGCTAATCTCACGCCTATCACTGGCTAATCTGCAGACCACCGGTTGAAAAACCACTGCTCTGGATTGAGGTACCTTAAATCATCCAGTTCAGATAAGGTTTTTAAATGTGACAGATTATGCCAATATACAGGAATACAAAAGGCAGTGGCTTCCTGCTCACAGCTCTCACAGTCCTCACAGCCAGACGTATACATTCCACATTTCAATGGCGGGAGCAAGCCATTGCAAAGAAGGATGTTTTACCTCTGCACAGTATTTTGTTATTTACAGCTGGGGCCCACGGCATACATTCCTCCCCTCAAGGTCTGCAGTCCTTCATAAATTAAGGCGTTATCGGCCAATTAATGAGTGCTTGCATGTGTCGTGTCAACGATTCAGAGACAGAGTTTATAGGAGGCACCTTTATGAACAACTTCCACGGTCTCGTCCACACACTCTGCACAGTAGCTTAGCCTAGCCTGTACACAACACTGGCCGTCTAACACTG